TATAACAATTCCGGTAAGTCCTCATATGCAAATTTCTAAATTGGTCCAGATCTGAATAAACCTTATGTTCAAGTTGTTAAACAGCAAGTTAAGATGCACAAAGATGATCTACACGAGATTCTAGTCAAGTTACATATAAAGTTCATTTAGTTCGGAGCTACGGCCTAGAAGATATGAGCAAAACAAGTTAAACATGGCATTGGTGCAAAATGCATACAAACATCAAGCAAACACACCAAAACAAGGATGCAACATGATAATATGAAGCTACATGCAAAATCAAGCAAGTTTCATATAGAGCACACTCAAAACGGAGCAACGGTTCAACACATGCACTCTATACAAGTTTAAAGGACAAGCTGTCCAAAACAGCAACTAGGCATAATGCAAGCATCAAAATAACAAGCTACAGCATCTCAACATGAAAACAAAAGACATGGACATGATGTACAGGTAAAGCATAACAAAACATGAACACTGAGCTATCTCCAGGAATCACTAGAACATGCTCAAACACACATGGTAAGATTACAAGTAATATCAGGTTGTAATGTTTAGAGCTATCAAACAACATGTTACAGGAACTTATAATGGCAAACAAAGGCATGGCATGAGTCTACTAAATGCATAGATCAAAAGTCCCTTACTGACCATAAGCCAAAAAAGATCAGAAAATATGATGGCACCCACGTAAACATAGCAAGTTATATTACAGATTCAAACATGGCAGAAACAGAATTATTAAGGCATGTAGATGAGCTTGTGCAACTCACTATAGAGCAATACATGGCATGGAAAGGCAACCAACAGTAAGAAGGCATATTTATGAAGCTAAGAATGGCAATAGCAAGGTCATAGGGTGCATGGAACACTAGCAACAATCACGATAACAACTGAACTTAATGTTAACAGGCCGACAGCAACATTATGAAGCAACTTTGGAGCAAGATATGAACAATCTACAGCAACCTATAAATGCAACCAGGGGCATGTATGGTTAGAGGATGACATGTAGATCAAAACATATTTAGAGCATATCTCCAGATTATGCATAGAATGATTTGTAGAAGCAGGTTTACATCGCATCACGAAATAACAGATTCAGCCTAGCAAAACAGCAACATCATGTACACTACTTAACAAGCTCGATTCACTCACCACAAGTCATTGCATGACAAGATAAGCATAGCATCATCAAGAAGACATGTTTGTGAAACAAACCAAGTCAAGAACAAGTTCATAGCATGCAAGGATCAACTACAACAACCTTGGCAAAATTGAATAACAAGTAAACAATCTGCCAGGAAATATTTTGAAGCAAAAGTAGAGCACGAAAATGACATTCTAGACTAATCCATAATTACAACCAAGGGCAGGGATGGATAGACAATAACCATATATTCAAAACATCCTTACTGAACTATCTCAAAATATGCATGGATCTCTCTGTAGCATCAAGTTTACATGGCATCAAAATAACAGCAGAACAGGGACTAAAATCAGTAACATCACGATGCCTAGTTTGCATGCTTGTGCTAGTCACCACATTGATCACAAAAATACATGGTAAGCACCTCTGTAAAGAAGACATGGCATAGTTCAAAACACATGTAGACATCAATCTCATAGGATGCACACATCAATCATGGCAAAAATGACAAAAGAGCTCGTTCTGATAACAGACAACAGAAAACATTATGAAGCACTCTTACAACGATGATTCAGATATCAAGATGAGCTCAAATGAGTATGATGCAATGGAATGAAAAGATGTACTCATTGAGACAAACAATTTGACATATTACACGCACGAAACGGAGCTACGGATACACAGATATGATGCGTCGAACATGACATGAAAATTACATAGATTCGGGGACTTAGTGGAATTTCACCTCCGGGAAAACTCAACCCGGGACGGGACGGTTCCGGGACGGAGCGGATCGGAACGGGGCGCCGTGTTTGGTTGGTGGTGGTGGTGGATCTGGTCCATCTTCTTCGGATCCGACCGGAGAAGAACTCCGGCGAGCGGCGGGCGGCTCCGGCGAGGTTGGTGGACGGTGGAGGCGACGGGGTCGACGGGCGGAGGAGCAAGGGCGGCGTCGGCCAGGCCGGAACGGAGGCGAGGCAGGGGCGGCAGGGCCGGAAGGCGACCGGCGGGGCGCTGCGCGGCGAGCGGCGCGCCATGGCGGGGCGGCGGCACCGGCACAGCTCCGGC